CACTTGAAAGCGGCATTGCCATATTTTTGTGTTAATTTCTGATATAAAAAAAGAACGTTTGAAATATTAGTCATCTTCTGTTGCCTGTATTACTTGTAATCCCGTTGATCGTCGAGTGACTCGAGCGAGCGCCAGTAAATCTTCAATTTTTCCCTGTCGCGTGCAAGACTAGTCCAGTAGGTTCTGTGATTTTTGATCGTCGACGCAGATCGGAGCTTCAGATCCCATTCCTTACTTGTGTGGAACGGGATACTCCTAGCATCGTCCTTTCGACTGCGCGTTCGATAATGCTGAGTGACCTTTTATCCTGCTTAAGCAGCGACCAGGTTTCTGACGCATACATTAGGGCAGGGAGTACCGTTGAGTCGAAAAGGTGGGCACGGAGTCGGGTGTTCTTCGCTACATCCGTTGCCTGTGGCTCGTGCGATTCCACGCTGGAGTATCAGTTCGAGTGTTCTGGAGCTAAGTCGTTCATCATATTGATTTCCCCACCTAGATAAATATAACTGGAGCATTCGGAGATATTCGTTCCGTTGAGCGTGAATGGCTAATGCGAGACTAATCCGTTATTCATAAACATCGGTTCTATGGTCGAAGACCAATGTTTCCACAGGCTCTATCAAAGTCGTCAAACATACGTTCCGCGTGGTTAATGTTTGGTATTATAGGGGCGATGTCATCAGCAAAGCGAAGGTGGTGTAACTGCCGACAGTCGATTTTCACTCCCATATTATCCCATTCCAATGTTCGCATGACGTTCTGGAGGGTGGCAGTAAATATTATTTATAATAATACTAATAATATAACTTCAATGATGGCGAGATATTTTTAAAACTCCGGACCGCAGGTGTATGCGGTGGGGTACGAACCCGCTATTGTCCTTTTCGGGGAGTAGCGCGTTCATCACCACACCATGTGGGTCCTTCGTTTCGCCTGTCTCTCAGCTATTTCTATCGATCTTTGCCACAGCAATCACCCGCGTTACTCCCCGGAAAGAACAATAGCGCGTTCGTTCCCCACCATAGACACCTGCGGTCCAAAGTTTTGCAAATATCTCAGCAACGTTGTGGTTGTATTTCGCTTAGTACCCTGCCGCGAAATTGTAGTAGGCAGAAAATAAAAAGGTATAACATTGTGAAATTAAGAATATTGGATGAAATATTTAAATCTGTATTGAGCGATCACTTCTATCAACTGTTGTCTCGTTCATTGCCTAGTGATAACAGCGGTGGCCAGGAGACCTTTCATTTCTCTTTGTCGCACGCAAGTTTAGCCCAGTGGGTTCTGGTCGCTTTAGGAATTCGTTGAGCGCCACATCTTTCTTCTAGGCTTTTCGTGAAAACTTTAACCATTAGATCGGTAGTCTTCTTGCAGAGTGTTTGACAATCCAAAAAATCCATTCACTAACGGCTGTTCTCCACAAGCCGCCGTCCTTTGATGTCGGCGTTAATATCGTTACAAAGTGGTGATATTTTGTGTGTGAAATTTTTATGTAGCTTAAGAGAAACCTTTGTATACTGATCTGAAATGCCCTGCCTCTCCAGACCTTCCATGACTGATTCTTTTTTAACGGAGTGAAAGCCTTTCTTTGAATCGATGAAAGTGAACCAGAGCGGTCTTTTGTATTCTCGCAATACTTCAGTAAGTCTTATTATCATGTGCGTGTGTACCACCGTACTCAAATGTCGTTTGCCTGTTCATATAGCTTTCTTTCGTTCAGTGTGTTGTCAATCCTGACCTGAGTGAAGAGTTTTTGTATGGCTGTTAGTAAGCAGATTGGTCGTTAACTGCAAATGTCGCAGATGTTACCGTTCTTGAACAATAACGCAGTGTTGCAGGTCTCTTGCAACAAATGAAAACTTTGCATTCCGACAGGCAACGTGTGAAGCCCCCAGCCAGTGTGTTGATGAAAGAAGGTTCTTTATGTATTCAGACATGGACCATATGTTACTCGACCCTTCAGTGACGAAAAGGGANCTGACCTGAGTGAAGAGTTTTTGTATGGCTGTTAGTAAGCAGATTGGTCGATAACTGCAAATGTCGCAGATGTTACCGTTCTTGAACAATAACGCAGTGTTGCAGGTCTCTTGCAACAAATGAAAACTTTGCATTCCGACAGGTAACGTGTGAAGCCCCCAGCCAGTGTGTTGATGAAGGAAGGTTCTTTATGTATTCAGACCTGGACCATATGTTACTCGACCCTTCAGTGACGAAAAGGGAAGTCGCATTTTGAAAGTGAGAACGGGGGGACGACATATTCGTCCTCCGTTATAATGGGAAGAAAACGAAGTTATTGGAGCGATCCGACTAGTAATCGTGAATCATTTTATCCTTTGCCTATCGGGATGCTGCAACTGTAATTTTTGCGAAATTACCCGCTACTCTCTGTCCTCTCTAAGGCTCAGGCGAAAGCCTCGTGCAGCGTTTTTGCCGCGNAAGAAAACGAAGTTATTGGAGCGATCCGACTAGTAATCGTGAATCATTTTATCCTTTGCCTATCGGGATGCTGCAACTGTAATTTCTGCGAAATTACCCGCTACTCTCTGTCCTTTCTAAGGCTCAGGCGAAAGCCTCGTGCAGCGTTTTTGCCGCGTTTTCCCGTTGCTTCGGCTATTTTCCAACTCCTACCCGGAAAACTCGTCCACTAGTGCTGGCAGACAGCTGAAAATAGCGTAGCGTAAAATGCGAAAATAGAGGACTACATTAGTGAGAACATATCCACCCACTTATACTTCAATACGTACGCGTAGACACGAAATAGATGTGTCAAGTCGGCGAAACAGGAACATGGGGTCTACTCCCTATATCCGTGTTCATCTCAAGAAAGCACAATGTTGTTTTTGGGCCGCCACTTACCCCATATCCATTACCTGTTTGCACGCCACGTGGCCTCGCTATTAACTGTCTGAGATCCCTTTGTGAAGGATATGCGCAGGTAACATATACAATTCATGCTATTGATTTGTTGCACGAATTCACAGTACAATGGCGTCAGTGACATGGAAGCTCTTTTTAAAAGATTTATTGACTTGAAGAAACATGAATAGGCAAAAGTCATGATGGTCATCTGCGGCTGTGAAATAGAAAAACATCTTAGTGACGACATAACGTCCCCACAGAGGAAAAAATTAAACAGAGCATTTACATAAAAAATTGGAGGTGAGGTTTTTTACTGGCAGACGACTCTTAACACATTTCTGTGTTGGTGGTGATCGCGCTTATAATAATCCACGAAGAGGTCTTTCCCTTCAGTGATCTCAAAAAAAGTAGGAACAAACAGAAAAGTTTACACAAAGCTGTGGCTTAAACCTTATGATAGGCCTAATTTTTATTGACATCTTCATGTTGAATTAGTCTATGCTTCTGATTCTTCCACGGAATCCGGGGAACTAATGCTAGAAATGATGGAGGACTTCTTCACTCCATCTAGTGCAGTGCGAGCTGGAGCAGCTGGCCTTAAGAGAACGTTTCAGAATGGCAGAATAGCTAACAGTATTGAATGTCTGATCTTGTCCAGAAATGTAACATCAAGTATCAAGACCTCTTACTAAAAGTGTCTTGTGGTTCTAGTTCTATGACTCCTCATAAACAAATGAAGAACATCAAAAAGAAGCCTCATAATTATAACACCACCTATGGAAACTGTCGTATTCATCATCGGAACTAAAGCCATCATCATCAATTTCATCTTCTGAATCGTATTCGCTATAGGTTTCCGATCCCACTGAATGGTCTGATTCGTCGGATTCAGTTCCCTCATCTTCATTCTTCTCTGGCACTTTTCCATTCTTTTCATCATTAGCCTCATCGTCACTAGATTCCAGATAGTTTTGTTGTACATGTTCGTCGTTGCATTCTTCTTCGACTTCTCTATAATCTTGCAGCAGTCATAATTACTCCTAATGAAAAAAAGTTTGCAATACACAGCAAATAGTGGGTCTCACACTACTTACAAAATATATCCATTTTTAACTTATTGTTGTCTAGAAAAAACCGAGTTGCTTTCTCCCACTACGAGATTTCAGCCGCCTCTGTGATAATTACATTCGGTAATCGGAGCTCTTGTGCAGAAAATATTCAAACGTGTAGTAATCGACATTAAGGAGATATATGAAAAATTGAGAAGCATTTGTACCTTTCCGAGCTTTCAGACTGCTCCGTACTGTCCAGAACAGAAGTGCTGCTGCTACTACTACTATCAGATTCGCATTTTTTGCATTCGTTTTCACTGAACGAGCTGTAGTCCTCAAGTATCGGCTTTGGGTCCAACAGCGAACTGTAGACGATCTTCAAGAGTTCTGGTCGTTCCTCGCTCAATCTTAACAATATTCGGTAAAATTGACCTAATCATTGGTAAATCATGCAGAAATCTTGGCAAGTTTTTTCCGTCATATGCCACCTCAAGCGGGGTTTATTCAGATCCAGAATGTGACTAATAACTACACTTTGCTCAGTAGTACAAAATAGTAGACAAAATTTATTATTATAAGTAACTCGCTATGATAATAGGACTTGAATTTGTTAAGCAAAACAATAAAAGTTCGCTGGCATCACTTGTAAGGTTTTTGCGGACTTTAACTATGATAACGTATCACGATATCTCAGGATAACAAAATACTTGTGAGTGAGACAATAAAATTTTTTAAAACTTAAAATAATATTTAAAGAAAACTTCTTTTAAAATATTCTAGTTGAGGTCTACCTAGTTAATCGAACCCTAGCCCACAACAATTTACTGTAAACCAGAACTAATCAGCATGAACCAGGGTAGTGGTTTAGGATTCGCGNCAATAAAATTTTTTAAAACTTAAAATAATATTTAAAGAAGACTTCTTTTAAAATATTCTAGTTGAGGTCTACCTAGTTAATCGAACTCTAGCCCACAACAATTTACTGTAAACCAGAACTAATCAGCATGAACCAGGGTAGTGGTTTAGGATTCGCGGACTTCATATATGTTACCGCTTTGTCAAAAACTGTGGAAAGACCAAATTTGTTCCTTATTTGTACTTTTCCAGAAAAATACGAGTCAATCCAGGTCGGAATTTTTGAATTGTCGGATAAACGTGGACGAGATTAATCCGTGAACAAAAGTTTTCCGTTACTGCCACGGTGTCGTCTTCATTGATAACCACATGCCACCAACCTGAAGCAAATACAAAATTGATATGATGCGTAATGGATGTAATGGAACAAACGTATTAAATCAAACCATGCTTGTGGAAATAAGGAAATCTTTAAGAGATACTGTTCTCAATATTCTAAAAGAAGAGACTTGTGACGATTAAACACCTAGAAATGTTGAAAATATTGACGCGAGACATAACCACGCCGGAAACTCAGCGGTAGAGATTCTATTCAATAACGCGCAGGGCCACCGGTTCAAACTCGCATTGTGCCCATCAAATTCCCTGCTCTCTACAGTCGGAAAATTGGAAACAGAATTGTCAAGGAAGAGCTGCTGCCGAATTATTGATCTACAAATTTCGAAGATGGCTTGTGCAAAACCCAAGAATAAACTTGCAGAGCAATGGCGTTGAGTAAGAATGCCAACGTTCACCCACATTCCTGAAGATGGCGTGATCCTCTAGTAGGAGCTGTACCCATGCATAAATTCGAAAACTTTGGTGATGGATTCCAGTTCATGAACTAAATGTACGATGTGCTGGGTTTAGCCCAAAATGTGATCTTGGGTCATTTTATTACGAAATTAATAAGAAAATACGGGAAAGTGGAAGTGACGAAAATCTGCGGGCCGATGTTTACGAGCTTAATCTATTACCAAGTCTAGTTAGAAGTAATAAAGCAACTCCACCATCTAAAATTTTAAGCAAAATTGTGGAACTCAGCTTACCGCAAAAAATGACCTACCACATGGTACGAAAACAACTTCGCCCGGTCTTTGTTGGCACTCCATCACTGGGTACTTATGAAATGGCCAGTCTCCATCATGTATTCGTTTATAAACAGTGGAAAACCAAGTGATCGCCTCTTTGGGATGAACACCTCGTTGTGATTTTGGAATTCTTAACAATTCTTTTGGTGTATCCGGATGAATAAGCACCCATCTGAAATTGCAGATGACATTTACAGAAACGTCTACAGCGGAAGAAAAGTGAAGGAATTATTGCTAGTAGCAGTCTATATAGAGAGATATCTGGACATGCAAAAGTTCACTACACAGTTGCCGCTACTATGCTGCTGGAACAGCAGTTTACAGCAATGGGAAAGTAGAGATTTTCATATAAATTTTTCCTAAATGAATTTTGTGGCGATACATTGACAGGCTTCTACCAGACCTAATTCGTAAGTTTACGACAGGCATTTTTTACAGGACTGTAGATTTAATCCATAGAATAACTAACCCAGTCTGTAGTATAAGACTCTTACTACAAACTAGTGCACTAAGAATAGGTTCCAAGGCAAGGTAGTGCTTCAACTAAATACTACTTTGCAAAATATAACATCTATAATGCTGAGATGTTTGCAAAACTCCGGACCACAAGTATCTACGATGAGGAAAGAACGCGCTATTATCCTTTTCGGAGAGTAACGCGTTCACCACCACACCATGTGGGTCCTACGTTTCGCCTGTCTCTCAGCTAGTTCTAGAACTATAACCTAGTAAATGAAGTAAATAAAGAGGTAAATAAAGGTTGCAATAAATAAAAAGGTTAAGCTTGCAAATATTACTTTCGCTGCAGGTATTGGAAAAGTTTTACGGTGACTCACAACCACAGAAACTGTGGTGAAGAAATTGTGAACTACTTTCATGCCCGTCCATTCTTGTACGGCAGCTTCTTTTCGTAGAATTGAGGTCATTTGTGCTATAGGAAATTAGGATCAGGTGTTATTGATACGGCAGTGCACATTATGAATAGAGCCGCCCATGAAGAAAAAAATTTGCCATATTTACACCAGAATTTGCGCCACAAGATTTTTCCTTCTCTTTTTTTTCTATTTTTTTTTCACAAGTTTGTTCATTATCTGGGGCAGTGTGAGTTAACATTACATGAAAAAATGTTGGAGACACAAAATATTATATGTGAGCTTTTTAAATACGGGAATTATTTCTTTTTGATGATCAAAAACTTCTCCTCAAATAGTAAAATCCGTGACGATTTTCGTTTCCTACGAAACGTTGGTTTATCACGAGCTAAATACTAAGTCTATAATGGTTCGTAAAAACAACGCAAAATTACTGCGCAAAATTCCGATGTTTTGGTATCAGGAAAAATGAAAATTTGCTGGTGAACCAATAAGAATGATGAATACCGCTTATGACCGTGGATCAAAGCATTCCAAGCACTGGTACCAAGTGGATCGACATGGATGTTGGTTCCTGAGCGAGCTGGTCCGATCACCATCCATCTTGAAGCGTGTTATCACTCACAATACACTTTCCGCAATAAGAGCAACATTATCTTCTAACATTGCGAAATGGAAAGAACAATGTATAAAGATATTTGCAAAACTCCGTACCACAGGTGTATGCAGTGGGGAACGAACACGCGCTGTTGTCCTTACCGGGGAGCAGCGCACTTCACCACTACACCATCCGGGTCCTTCGCTTTGCATGTCTATCAGCTAGTTCTATCGATCTTTTTGCCATCAGCAATCACCCGTCAACGGGATTGATCTGGGGAGCCAATATCGGCATTGAACGCAGTTAAGCTGAGGCTTAGTTATAATCACAATCCTAACTCTTTTATTTACTGCCTTTTCTTCTTAATGGCAGGGTATGTNGCGTGTTATCACTCACAATACACTTTCCGCAATAAGAGCAACATTATCTTCTAACATTGCGAAGTGGAAAGAACAATGTATAAAGATATTTGCAAAATTCCGGACCACAGGTGTATGCAGTGGGGAACGAACACGCGCTGTTGTCCTTACCGGGGAGCAGCGCACTTCACCACTACACCATCCGGGTCCTTCGCTTTGCATGTCTATCAGCTAGTTCTATCGATCTTTTTGCCATCAGCAATCACCCGTCAACGGGATTGATCTGGGGAGCCAATATCGTCATCGAACCCAGTTAAGCTGAGGCTTAGTTATAATCACAATCCTAACTCTTTTATTTACTGCCTTTTCTTCTTAATGGCAGGGTATGTTTCGAATTATAACTCGTATGAAATGCTGAGATATTTGATACAAATATGATGATACAATATTTGTGTGTGTATGTATGTGTGTTTGTGTGTGTAGGTGTGAGAAAATATATATATATATGAGTGAGTGAGTGTGTGGGTGTGTGTACACACATACGTACACACAAACATACATATAGATACACACGCACACGTACGCATGCACACATACACACAAATACGCACAGATTCGCTCAGACAATACATTCATACAATCTATATAAGCAAAATTCTTCATAATGACGATCGCTCTCAATCATAAATTGTTCAGATGTGCTTATGTCACTCTTTGTTGCCCTACAGAAGGAAACTTCACCAGTTGTTCGGCTATGAAAACTTTCAAGAAAACAAAATTGTTTGTAGACAGCGGTTATTCTACCTGTATTGTGGGCGTTTCTCATGCGTGCCGAGAATTCCGAATAGGTTATCACGAAATATTAGCGGGACCTCGTAGTCGTTTAACAGCTCCTTTGTGTATTTACGCTAAACCATACTAAATGAGTTCATCGACGATTCGCATAGTAATATTACACATTACGTTATCACTCTAATATAACAGTAGTGTTCTAATCACAGTATCTTTTACATTAGAAATTTCTTTCCGAACATTTTGTAACAGGATTTCGACCGGTTATCAGATGTGGGAGTAATTTAATGCGTAAGCATCTTAAGAGATTGGTTTTACCTCTCCGAAAGAATCGTCAAAGATGTATAGTGGACTGTCGTCGTCGTTCTCTCTCATGTATTCAGCGTAGTACTTGAACTTCAGCATTACAGGGCGTCCATATTTTCTTTCACCACACTTGAACCGGACATTGCCATACTTTTGTGCTAATTTCTGAGATGGAAATAACAATGCCTTACAAAGTACATAGCATATGAATACAGAAATACATTTAAAAAATAAAGCTCTCGGCGTTGATCAATTTCTGAGAGATAAGCCATGCATTCGACTTCATTAAGCAAGGTGATTGAATGCAAATCTGGCCTTTATAATAACAAGCGGTGGCCTACCGATCTTTCGAGCCAGTGTTGCTACCCTCCCAGACAAGTCTGGTTTCGACCTCGGAGGGATGGAAGACCTGCTTGGCCTTGTGCACGGGGATCGATCCCTTGTGTAATGCAGAACGTCTCCGACCATTGCGCCACATATGCCCAAGGAATGCATTACCATCATCAGTAGCAACGGCAGCAACAAACCAGCGCAGTAACAGTTAACACATAATAGTCTACCATAAATTATAAGTAGAGTTCTGAATGAAATGAACGCTGCCTTTATTATTGCTGTTACAAATTAATGCAGAGAAAGTGAATCTAGGAGCAAAAATTTACTAAACGATTCAATACCGAAACTATCAGGAGAACCCAAATTTTCATTACTAGCAGTTCGTTTTGATGTGAAATTAAGAATAGAATACGATAGATATAGATTTGTATTAAGCTATTATATATATGAGGTAAAAACGACTCACACTGATTGTCCAGTTTTCGTGAGCTTTCCAGTTCTTCGTCAACCCAGTGATTACGCAAGGAATACGTGGCGCTTCATATTTCTCTTGAAACTCTTCAGCGGTTAATGTCGTTCCATCAACTCTTTCCATTTTATCATCAAGAGGGGCAAGTTTGAACTTATTCGCAAGGTCCAGTACATCCCAGGCGTCTTTCAGTTCTAAACATCGCTCTTTCAGAATTCCATTGAATTAAGGACGTGGTTAGCACTAATCACACCACTTGTCGTAAAGAACTTAGAAGCTTTGAGGTGTGCGGTAAACTCTTTCCGTCATCATTGTTGTTAGTAATCTTAACTCTTTTATTTACTGCCTTTTTTTCTTCTTAATGGCAGGGTACGTTGTGAAATATAACTCGTATGAAGTGCTGAGATATTTGCAAAACTCCATCTGGGTCCCGGATGCTGTAGTGGTGAAGTGCGCTGCTCCCCGGTAAGGACAACAGCGCGTGTTCGTTCCCCACTGCATACACCTGTGGTCCGGAGTTTTGCAAATATCTCAGCACTTCATACGAGTTGTTGTTAGTATTTGATGTTCTTTTTGAAAAATTTTTTGCGGCTCTAATTACTAATATTTCTTGTTCAGTTTCAAAAAATTTCTGAAACAGAATGCAAATCTTCCCCAAAATGAACCGACTATAGGCGCAACGTTAATAAAAAATCTCCATGCATTTCGCAGTTTTGCGAAAACAAAGTAGTACAGTTTGGAAAGAATCCAATACTCAGCTTACCGGGCCGTTCTTTTCGTTGGGCTGCGGCCACTCGTCGTTCACATCTCGTAAAATAAATCCGACGTCCAGCTTCTATCACAGCGTTCTAAAATCGAGTTAGAAAGGAAGACGAAACCGACATAAAAGTGGAACGGATCGATTAACATAACACTATGAACTGGTTGAGTTACACATCAAAAATCTCGTAACAATCCCAGTCACTAGTGAGCAGTGGGAACTGACGGGCTAAGCACAAACTTTTTTGTAAACTTGTCACTTTTGTAGACGTCGCGGGCTCACCAAGCTTCTCATCCTTCCTGGACCAAAAAATTTGTAGCGAACTTGTCTGGGTCCAATTCACTATTCTAAATCCAAGAAGGGACTTCCTGGCACAGCTATCCCAGGAGTTGGGGGAGGAATGACTCTATCAGGATTCGACTTCATTCATGAAGAAGGCAATCATTTTCATGCAACATTTTGAACCGACGCATGAAAACGTCAAAGATCTTAGTGGACGCTGAGTGAGAGGAAATAAATGGAAGCAAGAAGTATTTGGACAGGTGCGATGAATGTGACGATAGGTAATGTGAAATAAATTTAAAAATTAAGATTTTTGTTTCAAAAAAACCACGATTTGGCACTACGTATGCTTTAGGTAATCATACACTCTACTTAAGGACGCCATACCTCAGCTCACCCCTTGTAACCCAGCTAATCGGTCAATGACTCCATTGATCATCGTCAAAGCCTCTATTCGTTTTTGCCGGCGACAAGAATTTGGCAATGATGCCCACTCCTCGTTCTGCGGACACGAGCAGGACCACATTTTTTTATTGTTAACCACACTATTTTTACATTTTTTGCGAAATAGAAATCATAGAGAAGAAGCTAGCTTTGCGTTAAGGCAGGTCTGGCATCATATGTTATTTCTGAATGCTCTACATAAAACTATGGAACGTCTCAGCTTCTGTGTTCCATTTCGCAAACCCTAGACACATCGTCAGCTATCTTTCCTTATAAATCCTTGTAAATACTTTATGTATAAAGCTTTTGCTGCGCATACCTTTACAATATTTGCCGCTTCTCCGATGTCTTTGACGAATTTGATGGAAGTAAAGTACGACCAAAGATGTGATACCACCGGAACTGGCGGCTCCATGATCACACTCTAAACCAGTTCAGAATAACGTGTGACTTCCACTCGGTCATTATCTATAGTTTATCTGACCGAAATGCACCTGAAAATCTAACCTTTTCCTTATCACTATCTACGACGATGGAAATGGATATGAAACTAATGATAAAGAGTGCTGACGAGTTTAACTATTCTACACAAGTTTAGGAGAAAGTGACAAGCCACATGATGCAAAACATGTATCAGCTATATTATCTTTAACAGACTGTTTTCATAAGAGTGTACCAATAAAGTAACTTGTGGTATCAGTTCCATACCGACTTTCTATTAATCTGATCATTGTTGTTTAATACTGGCTGCGACTTCGGAGATTTCGCATTCGTCAAAACTTCGAAAGAGGTTAAACTGACAAGAATTCTACTGAGCCAAGCAGTTTTGAGCGTTTCGACACAAAATCGAATCACATCAATAAATTAACCACATAATAAAGAGACTTTTTAAAGCATTCATTGTTTCGACCTTTATAGGTCTTCCAGTTATTATTGGAATCCAGCAGCACAGCGTCTAACATGGGTGAGGTATGTTTCTGTCTCAGGTAATCAGACTGGGAAAGTGTGACCGTATCACGCGTGATAACAAGACACCCCTACATGCGGTTCTTTTTTGGATTCTTGGAATTGCTCCAAAACGCTTCAAGAGTTTTACGCCCCGATGTCTTGAACTCCTATGCGAGGATAGTGACTTTACTTTAAAATCTTTCCTATTATCTTTCTGTGTTCAGCGCGGGCTTGGTGGAATATGTGGTTTCGGTTAAATTCTCCGAATAGGTGTCCTTTCATACGGATGCACAATAGTCTTCCCGTTTCGCCAATGTATTCGTCCTCACGAAGCTTGCCAGAGATTAGATAAACTGTACCCGAATTTATGCAACCACCGTCTCTACCGTTAGGATGCCTTATACGATTTCGTTTCATAAAAAAGGATAATACAAGTGGTTACGAACCAGCCGATGTTTTAGAGTGTTCCTCAGTATCCTTATTTCTGCACCCAAGTCTCCTAACCGGTCTCTTAACCTTAGTCTCTTAACTTTTTAAGCAGCTTTTTGCAGGCGCGTTTGGTTGAAAAATAACGGCAAGCTAAACGACGCTCTATTTTGTTAGACTTGTCGTTTTAGGGTTTTTCTTGTCTTTCCTAAAAAGCAGCTGCTTTTTGCTGCTGGAAATAGATAATTGCTGCCTCAAGTTCAGACATTCTTCTACTTGGCTTTACACGCACTAGTGGCTCCTGAAACATGCTTCTTACAATCTTCGTTTCAGGATGTGGAAGGTGGTACGAAAAGTAATGAACCAGCATGTTTTTGTTGCTTGGCTTTCGTTACCATTTGGTACAGTGGGCGTTTTGGGTAGGTCGATGTTAACGTTCCTGAACGGAATGCTTTGGTTTTTCCTGAGTGAAGTATACGTGCTCTAATTGGTCTAACAATTCAAAACATTTGCCCAATTCCTCTTGTATTGAGCAGATGACAAAATAGTAATTGAATTACTTAATGTATAGCAGAGACTGAATACGGAGGCTTCAACCTATGAAATAAAGGCAATGACAAGGCTTCGTTCCGGTTGCTGCCCTACTGCCAACCCTCTTGTTTGTACGAAACACTTCCAGAGCCATCTGATGATTGAGTAGTTTTGGCACTATTAAGCTGACGTTTCGGCGAATTTCGCCTTCTTCAGAGCCGCTTTCTATGAGGTCTCCACTAAGTATGGGTGTTGCATAAGGGGTTGGGGGATGGCTTACATAGCGATGTTTCTCGAAATACAAGGGCGCTAACGTCGAAGCACTCCAATACGTACGCGATGTTAGGACTTGCGTTTCATAGACGATGCAAAACATCTGGGTGTTTGCAAAATGGACAGGAATGTGTTTCAACAAGTGGCTAACTAATAGGGCTAAAATCATATTATTCTATCCGTTGGTTCACCTACACAACCGATGACGGATTTGTACCTCAACCTTGAAAGGTCCGTGAACGTAGGATCACCACTGGATACTAATGTATGCCATTAGCAAATAAACACTTAGCATATTGGTAATGTGATCGTAATTTAAGAAATAACTGACGGTTTTTTATGTGCCGCGCTTCCCATTTTGACACATTCCGCGCTCGACTAGCGTTGAAGACTTTTCAGTTTCCTTTGATATGAAAGCAGTAAAATGGAAGTAATTCTAAGACGATTTTTCCTTATCTCAACATCTAACTGACTACGATATACTACAAATTCTTCAACCTTTTTTTGTGAGAGGGTATGATGTAAAATACAATGAAAATGATGCTGAGATATTTGCAATGAAAACGTTGGTCCCCAGAAAGAGTAATAACAAGGTTCGATCCCCACCACAGACACCCGTAGTACGAAGTTTTGCAAATATCTCGACATCATTGTAGAAATATAAGTAATGATAGAAAAAATTCTCTCACTGATCAACTCCTAGGTATCCATTAGGAAAGTGCTCCGGATAAAAATGAAATAGAAGGACCGCAACGATCGCCAGTGCTCTGATCCCTTGCAGATCATTTCGAAATGTTTCACATTTTCTATGAAAAAAATGATTACAGTTTGTTAATAAAATCTTCTTTCATCAATTGCTCACCGTATGGGAGTGCTTCGTCTGCATGGAGTACTTTTAATGCATGAAAATGCAGTGGAAAAATCCCAATATCGTAAGGAATTCTTAAAGGGAACCGATCAAGTTGGTTGAAACCCATGAGTGTGCACCACGATGCAAACTTGGAGTTCACAATAAATAAACATTAGTCGTTTTTTCGGCTACGAACTTCTTTCTACGAAAGGTTTAGAACTATTTTTAACCTGGCCGGGCTTGGTACACCTTTTCCTTCTACGCCCTTTACTCGATTGAAATAACCGAACATCAGCGGCTCCGTTAATTCCACTCTATCAAAGGGAAAAATAAAAGTATCATTTACATACTTAAATAAATGCTTAAGTCATCAATGGATAGCGAGGAAAAACGACAACAATATGTAATTAAAGAGAACCGAACAACTGAAATTCTACTGACTTCCTCTATGCTTTTTTGGGACTTAAGTGTTCTGAAACCTATGGCATTGACATCTTCATTGAGCGTTGTCCGGGAAAATCAAGAATTTTAGTAAATTTTCCGAAGAAATGCGTCCAGCCGCATAGACTCCTCGATCTTTGACAAATTTTTCAGAGAAATCCGAGGTAAGCTCAAGGAACGGTATGGAATATCGAGTAGTTAAGGTAAGAAAAGGGTAGCATTGGAAGAAGAAGCCGGTTCGAACAGATCATCAAATACGATTAAAATATTTATGAAAATACAAGTGTTACACCATTTAAACACTTAAGGGAGATTCGAAGCTTGATTACATCTTAGATGGAATTGATTTGATCAGAATTTAATGATCGGTCATAAGGGAGAAGAACATCCTCAGGCAGCAGTCGAGCCCACATGCAATTTCAATGTACTTCGTGGATGGTAAGTGGTGGATCTACTAATGGGCGTATCTGAAGCGAATCTGAACTTGGATGGCGATCATAACATAAACACACAAAGTTCAGGTATCAATAAGGTGTGCAAGGCATGTAGAGGGGCAGAAAGCTCGATAGAGATGGGAAGGTGCAAAACATACTACGGAATAGGTACAAACCCATAACCGGCGATTTGTGATAGCGACTGATTCGTACCAAAAAGAATCAGATTAGTGATGGAACCATAATCAGTGGGAATACAGTTACGAGCAATACGATATTAAACGAAAACACACTGAATAGTATAAATAGATAGGTCTATGGTTCGCAAATTGTTAATAGAGCATTATCCTTCACTAGAGATGTTATTGGCAATTCGTTTGACACGAGAGGAGAATTATAGGTCGGTTCTGTCAACATTGCCTTTCGCTACGATTTGATGAAATAAGCGTTTTTGGGTATGTTAATGTTAACGTTCAGAAACGGCGACTGCGCTTGCTTTCGTTTCTTCTAAATGAAATCTATGTACATTGAATAGTGGTTTAGTAATTCAGAACACTTGTTCACCTTTGCTTGTGTTCAGTGTGAATAGAGTACCAGCGGAACTCCAAGTACGGAGCTTCAAATTTAGACATAAACGCGACTGCGTGGCATAGTGCACAAGGCTGTCGTATTCTACACCCGACGTTTGTGCCAAACGCTTCTGCGGAACACTTTTTTAAAACGTCCATCAGCTTCGAGAATCTGGATCGAGAAGCTATACCTGAGTATTGTTCCATCGTGTTGCACAAGAGTTAAAATATGGCTTGCATTGCGGAGTCATTCGACACTTTCGTATAAAGATCTTTAACGTCGAAAGACGTTATTACATATGCGCAATTAGGATGAGCGTTACGCAGACGATCCAGAGGCGCTTGGGTGTTTACGCTTGGGTGTTTGTCAGATAAGCTGGAATGTGCTTCAGCAAAGGGATAAAGCAATGTTGCTCTATCTGTAGGCCTGTCTACACTTCCGGTGATGGGTTTAACGTGGAACCATACATCAAAAACATGGGTCAGTATCAAAAAACCATAAATTCAAGATCATCAGTGGACAGCAGCGTATACGTTTTAATAAATAAATAAAAATGCTAGTAATCCGATCTTAAGCTGAGAAATAACTGATGGTTCTAAGCCTGACGGTTTTCCACTGTGACCCATTTCGTGTTCAATTTACGGTATTGGCTTTTCACTTTTTTTCAGATGATGGGCAATAAAGAAGAGTGCGTCTAAGGTGGCTTTTGTTCCTAACATCTA